CTTGTTGATGATTTGCTTTCAACAGTGGAGTCCTCCTTGATCGTCTTCCATGAAGTCCACTGTGGCTCAGACAGTGACGGATGGTGCGATCTGACACTGATGTACCTTGACCTTGGAGTTCACCTCTAATCTCTTTGGAAGTTGTTCTGGGCTCTTTGGTTACCATTCGCATTATCCAACTCTTCACGTCCATGGAGGTTAGCTACAGTCCTGTGGACCTTAAACCTCTGAATAATATATGCCACTGTAGTCAGAGGAACATCAGGCTGCCTGGAGATGGTCTTATAGCCTTTACCTTTAACATGTTTGTCTATAATTTTCTTTCTAATCTGAGACAACTCTCTCCTCAGCTTTCTGTGGTCCATGTTCAGTGTGGTACACACCATGATACCAAACAGCACAGTGACTACTTTTCACCCTCTAAATAGGCAGACTGGCTGATTACAAGTTTGAAGACACCTGTGATGCTAATTAGAGGACACACTTTAGTTTAACATGTCTCTATGGTCAAATTATTTTCAATCCTTTCTAGGGGTACCATCATTTTTGTCCAGGCCAGTTTCATTAGTTTCTTTTTTAAAATTCCCCTGTTGAACCACAATTCAAAAGCAATGACTGATTTTAATTAGTTAATTTTCAGTCAATTTTTATTTATTATTACCTTTGTCAGTTTCACATTATTTCAGTGACCATTGTGTGTTTCTCTTTGTTTAACCTCTAGAGTCCCTGCGTCCTCATATGAGGACCGCACAGCTTGGGTTTCCAAAGCTCAGGACTCTAGAGGTTAACAGAAGGGTACCAACAATTTTGTCCACGTCTGTATTTCAGTGGGCCACTGAACAAACTGGGTAGGTAACTCAATGTGAAAATAAAACACCAGAGTCATTGTGGGAGAAATGTACAAGTCAGATATGCTTTATGTAATCCTTTCCAGTGAGTTATGATGGATATTCTTTCTCGGTCAGAACGTTTAGTTCCACTAGTGGGTAAGATGAGTGCATGTGTGGTGCGAGGCATCGTCTCAGTCAGCATATTAAGTTTCATGTTTATATGGGGATGCTGGCTTCAGCTGGTTCGTATGGCACGTCCCATGGCCCTCTGTTCTGATAAAGTGAGTTTAAGATCCTTTTGTTAAGAGTTGTTTCTCCAGTATGAATTTGACATTGAATGCTATATGCACACGTTATACTCTTATCAGAATAAATACAATATATTTAAAAAGACAACTGTGACCGTCTGAGCATCTCTTCTCTTTGCAACCTGAGGCTTTCATCAGACATGGAAACTGGGAGCAAGGCAGAGAGAGAACACGATCTCCCCCCTCAGTCAAATACATGCAAGTATTAAAGAAAGATATCAAATGAAGGAAGCTACTTTGGGGGGAGTATCCAGGTCTCCATTTACTGCTGTACCATGTAGATTGAATTCTAATCTCAAATTCTATATTTTATTAACTTGTAATTATAGAGTGGGAAATGAAAACTAGAAATCCAGTTTAATACAATGCAAACTGAACAGCAGTAAATAACAGAAACCCTACTGTTTAATGTTGTTTTTGCTGACACTTGTCACATCAGTTCTACAGTAATTTTGGAGACTAGCTATTCCAATGTTGTAGTTGTGGACTAATATGAAAAGATCTTTTCTTCACCAAGTATTAATATCATCATAGAATCTTTATAACAATTGGACTGACATCAACAACATAATATAAATAAAATTCATGTGCATGTGTTTGTCATGTATGGTTCTAAAAATCATCATAGGTAATTCAGCCTGTTTACTACATGACTGTTTAAAACGTGACAGGGGCTCATGTGATGATGCATCCCCACCTGGGTTTGGATGGGCCAGCTCAAATCAAAAGGCCGTGACCCTCATCCATCAACAAAACATGACAACTGTTCAACAGTAACCTCCAATTAAAGGGGGTGGGGTGGGGGGTGGCAGTGTTCAGTTTACTCCCATTTAATTTTCCACATCACCCTCTATAAGATGACAAAACTTGTGAAACAACACTTTGATGCTAGTTAACAATATGCTGATTTTAAATGAGTCAACTAAAGAAAGGGAGAAGCAGACATAAAACTGTTTTTGTGAAAAAAAGAAACCTTGTATAACTACTTCCTCTAGTTTTTATCTTTTCAAAGACAAAAAAAAAATGAAGCAGGATGTACATTTGCAGACTTGAAATCCTTTATCACCCCTTAATATCATCATTTGCTAAAGGACTGTTTCCATTTAACACTGATGGAAATGTAAATAACATGACCAAAATTACAGTTTCATCCAGAAACATTTTTAAGTGACACGAAATACAGCAAATAGTATTCCCAGGATAAAGTGCAATAAAAGGGAGTTGTGGCATTTTAGGAGAGTGTTGTTTGTCAGGATCACTCTCCAGAGCGACAGCAGGCTCTGAAGCCACACTGTAGGTTCTGGCAGCCGCTGGCTGTGTCTGCATGAGGACCTGGAGAGAAACACCACATGATGGTCATCTACCAAACTGGATGCAAGTGAAAAGGCCTGCAGATAACCCTCGTATCCACAACATTCTTATATGTTTAATTATCATAGGTTAAAATGCATGGCACATGAAGCCCTGACAGAGAATACTGAAGGCCTTATACAGGCTACCGTAATGCCTACTCACAGTCCACCTCAGCAGCATCGGATGTTTACACTAGGACATGTGCTATACAAGTGGGGTTAGTAATATTTGTTATAGCACCATACACTGTGATGTGTCTACTAAGATATTTATAATCACCATCACATCTTCATATACAGTTAGGGATGTCTTTAAACACTTGATTCGATTGTGAATAACTGTGTTCTGGAGGAAAAACAGATCCCAGAGTTTCATTTGTATTACCATTGATGTTGTCGCAGTAATAGAAGTGTTCATCATTAAGGGAAGGACAGGCTGACACCAGCTCCTGCAGCCCCACCTCAGTGATGAAGAGGCAGCCAGACAAGTTGAGATGTTCAAGGACAGGAAGCCCTCCGTGCTGAGACAGAGCCCTGAAACAAACGCAGTGCAGTGCAACCTCAATACATGTCCAGCAGTGAGATGTGTAAATGAACACTGATAATCCAGGCTTAGTCTAAAAAGGGCAGTACTGTTGACTATAGCAAATGTAGTGTACAAAGTCTCTCTCCCCCTAATAATCTGAATTAAGGGAACAACTGATGTGAGTCAACACTCACACTGCACCGCACCCAAAATTGCATACGTGAGAAGGGTTGCAGGGAGGGGTTTTCACTGCGCTTGTGCAAATGACAGCACCCACAAGTATTACACCATCTAGCGCTGAAAAATGACTACACATGCCACTACATGTTGCTCTGAAACGGTATCAATGCAATCTGACAAAATGTGGTATTTTACAGCTGATTACAAATGACTCATTCACCTCACTGCATCACATTAGTTTCTAAAAATACTAACCTCCAAACAGTAAAGCTGTGTTAGTTTGGGAAGTCATACTATTTCAAATATAACAATTTGAGAAACAGCAATGTGTGATCTTTACCTCAGGCCCAAATCAGTGATTTGATAACATCCAGAGAGACTGAGAAATCTCAGTGAGCGCCTCGCCTCTGACTGGTCAGTTCTGTTTTCAGGCCCCAAACACTGCAGGCTCCCAGATAAGGAGCATTTAGTCCGAATGTCTGCAGCGCTGTTCCTGGTGGTGCCTGATTTGCGCGGGGGCCCAGTGAAAGTCCTGAGGGCCATGTCACTAGCACAGCATGCGGAGTGACCACAGAATATTTCCCCAGACATGGCATATTGCTGATGCAAATAGGAGGTATCTGAGCCAGTCCTGGGTCCACGCCTCCTGCTCTGCATGCAACAGCACATTCCGCCCAAAAACTGTGTCTCTACAATGCTTTCTGCATTAGAAAGAGCCATCCCTGCACGACGGCTCCACTCTGCAGCATCTTCAATATCAGCAAGGTCTAAGGGTTCCAGGACCCACACTTGTGTAGGTGTGCAGGCAGCACCCCAACGGCCTGTCCCCTGTTTATAAACGATGGCCTGCCGCTTCCGCCGAATGGCGTGTAGGTTCCTCTCATCCATGAGTGTGATGGGTATTGAGGAACTTTTAAGAAGCTTGGCTCGTCGGTCTGAGCATTTGTCAAAGCATGTTGAGTACGCGAGATCACCCAGCCCGAAAGTTAATTTCCTCAGAGTGAGATCAGTGATCTTCTCACAGCCTGACAAATCCAGGTGCTCCAGAGAGTGACAAGCTCCTAGAGATGACCAGCTGGAGGAGGAAGCAAGAACATAGTGATGAGCGCTACGGTGACCAGGGTTGGTTCGAGGCAAATTTAAAATTAACTCATCTTAATCCACCGTGGAACCAGCACATAAACATTGCACAATCAAAAATCACCTTGTGGTATTTTATTATTGAATTCAAATATTTACCTGTCAAATGCAGAATCTGTAACAGCAGTCTGGGTCAGGTCCAGGTGGGTAATATTGGGACAGAGACTTAGGATCTGGCGCACCTATGAGAGGAAGAAAACAGAGTTTAAGTTCATTTTTATAAGTTGTCTAACAGTCTTCTTAATCAAGTACTGCACAGTTTTGCAAAGCATACCATTTTACTAGACACTGTAGAACTGTATGCCAGAACAAGTGACTTGACAGACGGACCCACAGCAGGCAGAAGGGTCTGGATAATCCCATTCAGAAGCCTCTTCTCTCTCTGAGCAGTGCTGATTGCTAGGAAGCCCTCTGTATGGTTCAACACATCTAGCACAAACAAGAGTACAGATGACATAATTTACTCCATTTAGACTTAATTTTCAATCATCCTGAAATCTTGAGGCAGCACCTTCTGGGTTCAGTGCAGCTGTTAAAAAGGGAATAAAGATGACAAAGAAACAAACGGTTAATATGCGAGCAAATGTGGAATGCTATTGCTGTGCATGTCAGGCAAACATTTAGACTTTATCCTGCTATGCCTTTATTAACTTTTATCAACAAGATAACTATCAAACAATTGTGCATTCAACTGCAAAAGACAAATATAGCACATGTCTGAACCATCCACAGGTGCCTTTTGAAATCAGAGACAATGAAGACTCATTTGTGTTTTCCTTCTCTTTTCCAGCTAAGCAGTGTAAACAAATATTTGTTACAGTTCATAGCAATGAAAGCACTTTTGTGTTCAAGTACACAATAGCGATTTACCAGCTTGCCAAAGACAGTGAATGGGAAAAGAACAATGGCATGTTCTTGATTAGTCCTTTTTATTAGCTTCTTTCTGACATGATCATATATGCTGCATTAACACTAGTTGTGCAACATATCTTTTGAAATACTGTTTTGTTACCAACAACACTTCACTTATGACTAAACCTCACCAGACTCATCAACATCAGCATCCTCGTCCCATTCCTGATAGGCCCGACCCTCATTCTGCCGACTCTTCACCCACTCCTCATCCGGCTCCTGGTCTAGGTCTCCTGGGGGGCCTCGATAATAATCCCCTACATTACAGACACAAACCTTTAACAGCAGTGAACTACCACTACATACTTGCAGTAAAGGTATTAAATAGTTTTAACCATTATGAGCTAAATAAATGTGACCAACTTGCAAGAAAAAAATAAGCTAAGTAAAGAATAAGGTCACCATCATGTATCAGCAACCTACCTCTGGCCCAGCGCACAGGGTAGAGGTGCCTCCACAGAGAGCCGGACTTAACCAGCTCTGACCAAGAGCTGCACACTTGACTGCAGCGACACAGATCTTCAGGGTTCAAATAATGGAACAGCCGCAACATAATTTCTGTCGGGAGCTGGGAGATGTGGGTTGAACAATGCCTTTTCTTTTCCAGTTCTGAGGAAAAGGACAAAACAACTTTTAAGTGATCCAGATGCTGAAATTATGAAGTGCACCTTTTATAAACATGATCCACTTCCCTAGACAATACTTCCTTTCATAAATCCACAGTTAGCTAACCATTGTACTGCATGAACTTTAAAAGTTCAAATATTTTCCAGGAAGACATTTTTGCTTTTCAGTAGGAAAAGCACAGGTCTAAATAATAAAAATCAATTGGCTGAATTCCATGTAAATGCCTGTTTCAGGCTCTTAGTATTGCTGGTTGCCTTATCATGTTGTACTGGGACACACTAAAACAAATCACAGTTAATGCCATTAATAACACCTGGGTTTTTATGACAAGTCAAAATGTCTGCTGGGTAAAAGACCTATATCACAAGTTGCAATACTGTTGACTACAAATAATTACATTTTTTTAAACATTTTTAATTATTTGTTGTTGTGAAAAGTGACGACAATATGACAGATGTCCCTCACAAATAAAACAGAGCAACATCTTGTAAATTGGTTCTACCTACAATGAAAACACAAAGAGATCCTGACATTTCAGAAGCTCCTACTTTTGGTATTTTTCTTCATAATGTGTCAAAACTGTCACTAATTGTCCACATCAAAATATATTTGTGAATTTGCACACTAACCATAATCTGCCTTCTCGTGATCTGCATATTTAAAAGCCTTCTGCAGCTCCTCAGCCTGGGTCCACAAACCGAAGCCCTTCAGCACCTCAGCGGCACTGTCCAGGTGCTGCTGGCTGCAGTGCTGTGCTATCACCTGTTTCTTGATGTCCTTGAGCTCCTCATAGGTGAAGTACTCCATAAGCATAGGTTGAAACACCTGCAATAAATCTCCTTAGTTGATAAACAGCATGTAACAGAAGAATTCACTGGGGTATAAACAAATGTAGCTTTAAATAAGTTTCTTTTATGTTTTAAACCTTTTTGTTAATGAGCACAGTTTAATCTTACCCATTCATTTGGGTCACTTAATTAATAACAAACAAAAAGATGTGTGAACATCTTATACCTCCTCTTCTTCCTTCATGTGGGGCAGAAAGTCCTGCGTGAAAGCCTCTAGTCTCTCCTTCAGCTGCTGGGCATAGTTAAGCTGCTCATATTCACTCTAAAAATGCAAAAACATGTATTAATCCATGGAATTATTAAAAAAATAAAAAAGGAAACTCCTTTACAGTCTTATTTACAACACCTGAATTATAAATTACTGGAAGACACTGAATGACCTTTTCAGACCTTTCAGCCCAATAGCCCTGCACATGCCCTTTTACAACTAGAAAAAAAAATTCTAAATTGTCTTCTAACTAGACAAAATAAAGACATCTCATCACAGTATTATTTAGATCAGTAGAAACAGCTTCCCACAGAACACAGTGCAGGATATTAAGACAAAGCAACATAATGGTCCGCTATGGTATACAAACTGACATGGGCTGAACAGAAGATAAAATTTACACAGTTGCATCATTCTGTAAAGGCCATTTTGTTGGGATTGCTCATGGCTTGAGAAAGAATAATAACTGTGTCCTGTTAAGCTAATCACAAAAGCAATCGTACCTCTATTACAAAATTCAGCCCACTTCTTTCTTTCTGGCCTTTCTTTTTAAATACATAAACTCTCATCAACCCATTCAACTGACAGAAAACTTTAGTTAACTAATTTGGCAATTCCTTCCAAAGTAATACAATGTGTCACATGGTTTTAATATAGATCACCTCTAAAAAGAGAGTGAATAGATTGTTTAAAATTAACACCTATACATAAAAAATAATCCTGTTGTTGCTCTTTGCACAGAAAGGTTTGCATGTCTAAAATCATTTCCAATTATCTGAACTCAAGGACAATTTATCTTCAAGTAAAGCATATTATTATTCTCCTTACTTTTGTTGTCCTGCTGAGCCAAATTTATTACAGTGCAACAAGTGTAATTTTGAGCCATGGCATAACAATAAACTATTACATACAGTGTCTACACAAATGCAAGTTTACCTTCACACTGTGCAGCCCTTTTTCAAAGAGGGACAACATATCTGAGAGTTTGTTGTCAGAGTGTACATTGTAGGCGGTGCAGCAGCGCTGCTGCAACAGGCCAATAATGTACTCATTCTCAATTTGTTCATGCATTTTGAACTCCTTAAAGGTGGCACACAGGGACTGAAGAAATGAACGGAAGTCATTGTTGTTGGAGAAGTTGGTTTTTGACAGCTGTGAAAAACAAACAAAAACGGAGTCATTTATTGTAGCATGTAACGCCATTTGTGTTTATACACAGACCCATGTGATAAATATAAATATAAATATTACTTGTACTTTTGCTGGGCGCATTAGATCACATTAACTGGTAGTGCCCTCACGTAACCCAACACAACAGCGCCTGCGCCGCTAAGAATGGAGTCGGGCAGGTAAAGTTATCATTACAGCAATACCCTGTGTACGTGCATGAACTGGCGCCGCACAAAATGTGCTTATCTGACACATAAAATCTTCTATCGAACACACATTTAACAGACAGGAAAACACACAATGTTATATGGTTTGTGGGAACATTAACAACTGTGCTGTGATACTTAAATCATGCTGCATAAACATCTTTATTTCAAGTTAGCGTCACTTAGGCTACAATGTTGTTAAGCCAGTTGGCAAGCCTTAGCTGGATAGATAATGAGATAGTTGAAGTTTATTAAAATCAGCCCAATGCATTCTCCATGTGTTGGCTAAGTAAATAGCTGTAACATTAACCTGACGCCCATGTGTCTAATCCAGTGTAATCGTGAGACAATCTGGCAGTTCATCTTCGGATGACTCAATCCCAGATGCTATAACGTTAGACACGGGCTAGCGTTAGCTATCGTGCTAACAGGCGTTCACTAGTCGTTATCCATACGCCATGATGTTTCTTTGTAAAACCACAAATTGTCGACCGACATGCATCTATACACACCTTTTCGCAGTACAAACCCACGAGCTGCTTCATTCGCCAGTGTGGGCCAGTAAAAACATCCACCTCGTCCGGAAAGGGAGCCATCTTCCTATACTAAATTTCAGTGCGTCATGACCAGGTCTGCAATGCAATCAAGTAAGGAGGTGTGTGTGTGTGTGTGTGTGACCGCCTCACGTGACCACAGCAGCTTCTTAATACAATCCGGAACAACATTTAAATAACATTTTACCACACACATTTCATTGCAGCCTGAGGAAATGCACGCTCCCACGCTAGTAAACATGTTTTAGAAAGCTTTAGAAAACATTTTTATATTTGCATAAAGGCAGGTGAAATATTTTGCTTAGCCATATTCTATTCGTCATGTATACAGTACATTGATTTTTTTTTTAATTTTCTGTGTATTTAATATATTTTTGCAGTCTTATAGGCTACTTTTCATACAGCAATTCTATTAAACTTCAACATGTTCACTCATTTGATCTATTCTATCTTCTTTTCTATTAAACTACTATTTTTATGTACTGTATAATATATTCATATGTGTTTTCTTGTCTACAACTTGTAAACTTGTTACAATAATAAATAATAAGAAGAAAATGGTTGTTTTGCGAATTAAATTTTCACGAGAAGTTGATAATTATAAAGATATCTTTGTCTAAGGGGCAAAAACCTAGTTAGCAGAAAGTTAAAATGACTATCGTCATGCCTACATTACGAATTAAATGTATTTAAGTGGCCAAAAACAAGGTGCAAACTGTAAATGTTTCCATTGACATATGGTTGCTATGGGAAGAAAAATGACCACAGCAACCGCCTCGTTTGGGGTGGAGTCACAGTACACGTTGACGGACAAGTGTATGAGCCATTTAGCGATCGAGATATATGAACACGGCCAATCAAAATGCAGCTCTAGAGAGCTATAGTTGGATAGAGAGTGCGAGGGCAGTAGCAGTTACAGAACCTATGAGAGCGCGGTGAAGAGACTAATGGTAAGTGAAGTAGTCAGCTAACTGAATTTGCACATCGCTATTCAGTGAGCTACATAAAATATATTACTCTGCGTTTTGTGCATTCTGGGGGCATATATTTTATGTAAGGTCGTCTTCCATCTTTGTCTATCTCCTGTTTAATGGCAACATTAGCTATTTTGCTACCAGCTGTCTTTAGCACCGCAGCCCGTCTGAGGCAAGAGATGCTTTTCTGTCTAACAGCATTGTTGATAGAACTTAACAATACTGTATATGTCACACTGTCGTGATTATTGTAGTTAACAAAAGGGGATGAAAGTGCTGTCTTGCACAAAACTACTACCATTAAACCTGTAAGTTAGCTTTGTAATCAGTAGCATTGCAATATTTTCCTTGATCTCTTAGCTGCAACAGCATGAGGAGCCAGACATTCCAGTAACATGGACAAGTACGAAGCGGTGAAGAAAATTGGGGAAGGTTCATTTGGAAAGGCTATCCTTGTCAAATCAAAAGAGGATGGACGCCATTATGTCATCAAGGAGATTGGCATATCTGGAGTAAGTCTATATGCATAATGTTCCACGTTTGACGTGTTACAGTTAATGCTAGCTCCCTTTCAATACCTTTAGCTGTCACATTCTCTTTTCACTTTACTTTGACAGATGCCAAGTAAAGAGAGGGAGGAATCTCGCAAAGAAGTTGCTGTTCTTGCTAAAATGAGCCATCCCAACATTGTCCAGTACAAAGACTCTTTTGAAGGTATTCACATACTAAGATCTTAGCAGTTATTTGAAAGATGTTAATCTGCTGCAGATCCCAAATGTCTTTTAAACATTTTTCAGAGGGGGGCTGTCTGTATATTGTTATGGACTACTGTGAGGGTGGAGACCTCTTCAAGAAGATCAACTCTCAGAAAGGAGTGCTGTTCTCAGAAAAGCAAGTAAGCTCAAAACTCTTTGTATGACCATGAATGTTTAAGAGATAGCTGAAAAGTGTTGAATGTGTAGATAATATTGCACATTAATGGGTCTATTCCATATAGTTATGCTCTTCTTATACATGTATTTTGATTTTCTTTCAGGGTTGCTCAGCCATTAGAATTTCAAATGATGTAGATACTGTATAACGTGACTTTACCATCTTCGTGTTTGCTTAGATCCTGGATTGGTTTGTGCAGATTTGCTTGGCACTGAAGCACGTACATGATCGAAAAATCCTTCACAGAGACATCAAATCACAGGTATAGCTTCATGCACCACAGGATATGTGATTATAAGCTATTTATTTGTCACATTGCTTTATTTATTTATATTTTTGTAATGTCTGCATAGAACATATTTCTGACAAAAGTTGGAACTGTACAGCTTGGAGACTTTGGAATTGCAAGGGTGCTGAACAGGTATAAAAATTTCATCTAAGTAGACACGCAGATAGCTACAAATCCATGCTTTTGGAATAGTAACCCGTAATGCAAATAATATTCTCATTCCAGCACTGTAGAACTGGCAAGAACATGTATAGGAACACCATATTATCTGTCACCAGAGATCTGTGAAAATAAGCCATACAACAATAAAAGGTAAAAACCCAATGCTCCTGAATACCATGTTGTGTTTGTCTAATTTTTTGTATAAATTAATATTTATTTATAATCCAGGGGGCAGGCACTTCCCCCACTGAAGTGTGAGTTGTACAGGATTAATTGGTGATTTAAAGGTATCTTGTCTCCTCTTTTTATTGAGTGAACTTGCTTGTGGATATCTACAGCAGGAAGCTGCCATTGATTTACTGTTAAACTATTTTCCATATGTATGTAATATAATCCACTTTAGTTGAAACCAATGAAGTAAACTGAGCAATTTTTGATCCAGAGTTTTCACAGCATTTACATTTTCCCCTCCACTCTATGATAAAGAAAGGAAAAAGTATGACTGAGGATACATTATTGAATGAATGTAAACAGAGCCCAGAACTTATTCCTGCTTCTCTGTTTGTGTGTTTACTCTTCTCATTTCCCCTACTGTCCCTCCTTCTGCAGTGATATTTGGGCCCTAGGGTGTGTCCTATATGAAATGTGCACTCTTAAGCATGCAGTAAGTATTCACTGTATGAGCTGTTTACTAATTAATGTTGATTTAATGTATCTTATGCAGCATTGCAATCCTCTCACACATACTGATTTTGATCTCTTCCCTGTATGCGTAATGGTTGACAGACAAACTTTTAAAGTATGCATCATCTTTCCTTATTGTGTCATTATCATATCTGTATTTTTTATATTTTCAATCACATTTTTTTGCATATGCTCATGAATGATTTCTTCTCAGTTTGAGGCTGGCAACATGAAGAACCTAGTTCTGAAGATCATTCGTGGCTCATACCCTCCTGTGTCTGTTCACTACTCCCAAGATCTGCGCTCTCTCTTGGCACAACTGTTTAAACGTAACCCTCGAGAAAGGCCCTCAGTCAGCACCATTCTGGACAAACCTTTCCTGTCCTGTAGGATAGAGAAGTTCCTCACGCCACAGGTAGAGTACACAGTTTCCTTTAGGTGAATCCCAATTCCACTAATTGCATCCATGTTTCCCTCCCTTGAATTTTTTCGTTGCACTTTAGTCCTGCTGGCATACAATGCAAGGAAAAGATGCACAAAGAGAAGAACCAAGGAAACGCTTAAACTGACATGGGGCATCCTTTCCTCCAGCCCTTTATGTGAAGCGTCCAATCACAAACAGATTTCTAATAAAGGGCTGTGTCAGTCTGTAATAGCCTTTTGTGAAGGATGCACTCCTGTATCCTCGGTTATGGCTCCTCCAGGCAGCCTCCTTGATCCTCAGAGCAGAAATAAGAGCTTTGGGACATCTTTCATCATGGCGGACAGGAATGACTACTGGGTCAAGCAAGGACTAAGGAATGATAAAATAAGGGAATTGGGATTCACCTTTTGATGCAGTCAAAATTTTTCTCATCCACATTGTATTCAATAAAAAAACAAAAAACAAAAACATATTCTCTGATTCTAGCTCATTGCTCAGGAATTCCGCCATGCTTTTCTTCACAAACAGCCTAAGATGAGTGTGTTGCAGGGCCTACCAGGTAAGCAAAAACTGCTGCTGAAATTGAAATGCAAAGGTGCCTTTTAAAGCTTTAATCAGTACAATTTTAATGTGATTATAGCATCTTTCAAATGATTGTTATAACCTAAAACATTCAAGTGTATTTCGGCTATACAGCAGATAACAATACCCCAAATTGCATTTTCTTAGTAAAATGTTCCATTACTTGTTATAATGTAGAAAGAAGTGGATAGATCTGCTAGACAATGTGAAGTTATTTTCATGTCTTGTTCATTTAATTGCAATATTGACCCTTCTCACTATTGGCAGCTTGTGCAGTCACCAGACACTGTGTCTGCTGTTTTATACTTTTATAACCAGCCAAGCGTCCTGCCCCTGGCTCCATACCTCTCACCTCAGCCCAGAAGATTACCAAACCAGCCGCCAAGTACGGAGTGCCTTTAACTGTGAGGAAGGTGCCAGATGCCATGAAAAAGCCTGCAGAAAGGAAACCAGATATAAAACATAAACCGGTTAGTAAGTTGTTGGTGGTAACAGTAAGTTGCTGTGTTTTTTGAGCTTCATTTATGATTTCTTTTTCTGCTCTGGGTAAAAAAAAAAGATAAATCATGTTAAGCTCCTAGAGTGGCATGCCAGATGCCTCTCCCATCTGTGTGTGTGAGCGTGTGTTTTTACGTCATAGTGTGTTGGCAACCTCTGAACCCCAGTGTTATGTTGCTCAGACCCCTCTCCCAGCAGCTCTCCAGAGAAGAGAGGAGGAGGAAGAGAGGAAAAAACATCAGGTACAGCTGAGAGCCTCACATAACTTGTATTCACTGTTAGATTCCCCTGGCTTTTTTCTCCCCATTTATTCACACATGATGGTTTCTTCCTGCCGGCGTTGTTAGTTTTTCTCTGTCATTACACTTGATCCCTGTCTTCACTTGTTTTCCACTACCAGCTCTATTCCTGTATGATTTTTTTTTTTTTTTTTTATAACAACCTTTCCCTCCTTTCTCACTCACCTGCCCAGTGACAGAGCAGTTCTGTTGCCTCTTGGCTCAAAGTGGGCCTCTATTTGACAAAGACACTTTTGCCTTATGCTGCAGGATGGCATCAGAAAGAAAAGAATGGAGCTGATTGAGAAAGAAAGAAATCAGAGAGAGCATGTGAGTGCATTGTTAAGTCCATATGTGGTGTTTGTGATTGTCTTTGCATGTTCAGCTGTTGACTTGTTTGTGATGTCTTCAGATGTTCCTGTTGCAAGCGGAGCAAATGAAGAGATATGAAAAGGAAAAGGTGCTGCCTGGATATACATTTTTTTTCTTTTATCTATCATGGTTTTATCATAATAATTGGCAAAGCATTGGAAATGGTTAGTGTCTGTGTCTTTATCTAAAACTGAAAATAAGAAATTGTGAACCTGTGATCTCTTGCAGATCAATCGTATACACCAAGCCAGAGAACAAGGCTGGAAGCATGTCTTGAGCTCTAGCGGAGGCAGCAGCCCAGAGAGACAGGTACTGGATGCCCATTTCCATCTTCTACATGTAAATACAACACACATATGGCATTGCTTTCTCACTCACAACTCTTGGCCTGTAATTTCAGTGTTTTATAGGTGGTAGAAAGCGCGCTGGCGGTGTTGGCCCCTCTGTCCCAGGCTCTGTTCAGGGTCCTACCCCAGCCCCTGTTCCAAACAAAAGTCCTTATGAACACTACCATGCTGCTCTGGACCAAATGGCTAAACCACAGCCTAAAGACCTCAGCAGGGAGGGATCCTCTGCAGGTCCAAGCAGTCCCATTCAGTGAGTTCCCTTGTCTTTTCTTTTTTTAGGCAGTGTATGTGTGTTAAATACAGTCAGAGAAAAAATAATTTGAACCCCAGCTGATTTTGTAAGTTTGCCCACTAACAAAGAAGTGATCAGTCTACAGTGTCAATGGTAGGTTTATTTGAACAGTGAGAGACACAACAATAACAACAAAATCCAGAAAAATGCATTACAAAAAAAGTTATACATTAATTTGCATTTTCATGAATGAAATAAGTATTTGATCCCTT